ATATGTGTGTATTAAAAATTATGAAATGTTGTTGATTGAAAATTCAAAAGGAGGTCCCCAATTGATATTATATAGTTAGCTGATGTGGGGTACTCTATATAGGCTTTAAATTTGTGTTAGTAGCTAAAAAAAATAGAAGGGCGAGGGCGGCGCCACCACCTTCCCTCCCAATTGCCCTAGGACCATTACTGGAATCTAGGTATGCAGTTTTTTTTTTCTATCTGTCCTCAATATCTCTATGTGACATTTCCTCGGAAATTCTCGGTAAGTGTTACTAACTGTTTGCAGTTTAACTTTAATATCAGAAACTAACAAAAGGGGAATGCTGTAAAAAAGAAGAAAGATAAATACTGTCAATTACTATAATTAATTTATATGCATATCCTGCACAGTAACACATTAACATGTTGTTTTGGGTATGAAATATATTTCCTCCTTTCACATTGAATTGATTCCCGTGAGTTGGTAAATTTGAATTTCAATCGCTTTCTATTACTTGTCCACTTTTCCAGCAATGCAAAAATTAAACCTTTTAACTAAAATTTTAAGATAATAATTAATATTGTCAACGGAAATAGTGGTGCATGTAGCAGAATGTTTGGAAAGGATATCTGATTTCAAGAAACTATTTATAACAATGAATGGCAAAAGAAACAATACAGGGTATCACACTTGGACATGGGAGTTGCCGTGCATAGAAATGTAATTGAAATGTGACTAGACCCCGTTGGTCTTGCCAAGGCATAGCGACTCATTTGATTCCATTTTTTCCCCTATGTTTCTACCTCAATAAACAACTTAAGTATGACAATGTTAATCTTTTTGCTTGTCTGAATCATAGATGCAAATATGCAATTTATGGTGATTGGAGACTTTGCCCAACCCATAGAAATAGGCACATAGATCACACACTGGACCACATGATACTTACTTATCATAAACATAGCTATCTATTTCGTGTAGAGCTAGCTAGCAGCAATTTCAATTAATTGTGTACAGACTACAGTATTAAAATGCACTAGTGCTCCTGCTAACTATATAATCAGCCATCAAAGAGACAAAGACATGTTTCCTAGCTTCGTGCTTTCAAGAAGCATAACTATGAAAAGCCAAAATATCTAAACCACGCCTGTTTATTTTATTAGTTTACTTTACACTAGCTAGCTATAGCTGTTCTCTGCATAATTTTAAAGTAAACCAAATATACTGTGATAAACAGTAATTAATCTTCTGTTTTCCCAATACTTTCTAAAATTTAATCAAATAAATTGCAATTTGAGATCACCACGTCCTGTGACCTTGTGTATGGTCAATTTTTTTTTGTGTACCACTTTTTACCAGTGTGTTTGCGTTGATACTTATAAACCACTGTCACATTATTTCATTGCTGTTATGTACGTAAGGTTCTGTTTTATTTCTAAACTAGTTCTCACCTATTGAATGGGAAAATAATTTGATAAATCAAAGTAGGAATTCATATATTATGTTTCATTATATTACAACAAAAAATGCCATATACTACTAATATGACGTAAAATTAATTTCTGTTGATATTAATTTTATTTCATAAAATTTAAAATGTGAATATAAATATTCAAGACTATATAAATAATAATATAAATCGTGACAACCAATAATTAAATTGATATAAGATATTAATATCTATCATCAATATATTAAATATTAGTATAAAACATATTATTAGCATAACATAATTAATCCTTAGCGTTTGTTTTTAGTTTAAGAGATCTATCAAAAATTACCATAACATAGCAAATTATAAATAATTATGTAACGTGTTTGATGTTGACTAAGCCATTTTCTCGATGACATTTGAAGCCGCCTAGCGGAGACACAGTGTTAGTAACATATATCAAATGTGATGATAATATTAAGAAATTGAAATTACACTAAAAATGGCCAATATAATAACATTATTGTGGTTAATTCAACTTGCTTCTTCCAATGACCTGTAATTTACATGATCATATACACTTAAATATTTTTTCCACTTAGCCTGAATATGTTGAATGCGAAATCCATTATTAATTAACTTCAACATGCATAGGGAAGCTTTGTTAGTCAATGCGGCGATTTCATGATTGAAGATCTTCTTCAACGTAAAATACAATAATTGATTTCTTTTCAGTTCTTTTGATAAGATCGTTTTAATTAAATTAATGAATTAAAAAGAATATTAGAAGTAATTAACGTATCAATTTTTAAAATATTTGCTTAAAAATACATAATAAACAAATAAATAATAAAATTTCATTAAAACTTATAGTGTTTATCATTGTGTCATTAAAAATTACGCATAATAAAAGTCATTATGCGTAGGTTCTTATTATATGTTTCTTATTACACATTAAGAAAACTGTTAATGAACTTAATTTTTAAAGAATTAATTACAACATTATTCTAAGTTATTCTTGTTTAAAATCAAACTTTATTATTATAATAGTTAAAAAGATAAAAAGGTCCAATAATAAAATTAAACATATAAAAAGATAAATGTTTGTTAAAATTTTATATAAAGTCTCAGATAAAAGACCATAAAGCATTTAAAATATTACAAAAAAATGAAATAATTTTTTTTTGACATCTGTAGGACTTTAATTGAAGGTGTGTGTAATCTTGTGTTTGTTTGTTTTTTTTTACTGAAAATGTAAAAGAAAGGAAAAGGTGTTAATGCAAAACTACCTTTAATTTTTCTCCTAATTAAAAAATTTTATGAAAAATTTATATTTACCCTGTTTTAAGAAGATAGGTAAATATTTAAATGTGTAACGAATTAGATGTAATACATTATTGTATTCCATTTTTATTTAAGTTTAAAGATTGGAAATAGTAATTTTTATTAAAAATTATCTATTATACCTTTATATCTCTAATGTAATAAATATATTTTTAATAAAAAAATAGTATTTTTAAATATTCAAACTAAACCTTAAAACCTGAAATTAATAAAAAAATACATTTTATTTTACTCGATGAATTCCTTTCAATTTGATCCACACTTTTGTTGAGAATGTAGATATGATCTACCAAATATGCAAATATATTAAATTTCTACCTGAAGTAATTAAATATGGTCAACCATGTGTGCAACAGCAGCTAAATCATCGCTTATGTTATGTATAATTATTGCTTATGTTATTTCAACTTGTTTTCCTTTCAACTTTCTTGTTATCCCACTTTACATAGTTTATCCTTGTTCAACGAGTCTAAGAAACACCAGTTTCTATCTTCTAATGGAAATTTTTAATCATGTGGGGTGACAAGCTGCATATTAAATTTATTTTATTTTAATTTTAATGATAATTGGAAACAAAATGTGAATTAATTGTTTTGCACAATCTCCGAGGTACCTTCTGCTTCCTCTCATTAAATATATCACCACATGTGCATGTTTTTGATATTGCAATCATTAGTGTTTAGGGCAACTTACACACATTTCAACTCTCTTGCCTTGTTTTGTCAAAACATGTTATTCATACTAAAATTGAAAGTTTACAATAATACTATATACTTAACAGCCTCATCCCAAATGATTAACATAATTTGAATTTAAATTTATTCAGTCTTATATAATAATATAATTAATATTTCATATATTATACGGATATTGATAATTATATATGAAATATAAAAATATATAAATTTTAAAATAATTTTCTTTGTTGATAATAAGATAGATTAAAATATAAAACATAAGCATATAATCTTTTATAATTTCTAAAAAAACTTAAACTATAAAAAATATTATTTTAATAAAGATTTGTAAATATTTCATTATACTTAAATCTAATATTTAAGAATTTAATTAAAATGAGTAAAAAAAGCTAAGAATAATTTTTAATCGAATAATTAATTAAACAAAAAGTATTAATTTAATATAAAGCCTCATAAGACCTGTGTCGTTTCAAAATTATTTTAAACCGTTTAATATGACCTTCATTATTATCTATCTCATTGATAATAAATGTGTAAAATAATGAAAATTAAATGAAATTACGGGTATGATTAAAAAGATGGAAATTATTATTGTCTTTAGCTTTTAAATGAATAGACAAGCATAAGTAAAGTTTACTTTTTGAAAAGTTGATAAATAACAAAAAGGCGTAGAGAGCAATTGAACGGGAAGAATAATTCATATATTAAGAAGAATACATTGGTTCACCTTACAAGAACAAAGCTCCAGCTAGCACCTATGAAATTGTGAGGATTAAGAAAAGGTAATAAATAATGTACAGAGGATGATAAGACGAAAGTAAAAGGTGATGTTTGGCATTTTATTTTTGGGGATCGGGTTATTAAATTTGAACATAAGTTATATATATATATATATATATATATACATATATATATATATTGTCCATGAATTTTATAGGGTTGAAGAATATTGGGAGAGGGAAGAGGAAATGAAATGATAATTGAAAGAGAATGACAGAGAAGAGTGCTGTGAGTTCTCATTCTCTGAGCCTGAGCTGAGCTAGTTGCCTTTCATTACCGCTGGGAGGGACCAGCACACACCACACCACACAGCACACAATGAATGGCACCAAAAGTCAAAAAAAATAACTCTAAGCAACCTAACACTGTGCACACACCGTTGGCAATTACAATTGCAATTGTTGCAATTGCAACCCCTCTCTACTTCTCTTGTGTCTAATAACAACAACTTGTCATAGATATTGTTTCCCTTTTTCAAAAAAATATTTTCAGAAAATAAAATATATTGTACCGAGAGTGAAGGTCATTGCAAGCTTCTGGAACAAATGGGCTTTGTAGAGTGGAAGCAGAAGCATATATAAATATATTGTACTGATTAATAATATAATATTATTATTATCCGAAATATTATGAAAAGGACTAGTTGCTCACATGACCCCAATACGCACATTATTCATGGGGCCCCCACGTAAGTGTAGTAACCCTCTTATCTCTTTCTCTTTCTTGTTAAGAATAAAACTGGGTAGCAACAAACATTTTTGCTTCTTTTTTCCTACTTGTAAAGAAGCTTCCTGTGAGGTAACTATACTTGTGTTAGCTAAAACTCACATCACCCTTTCCCTTCTTCATTTCCCAGCTCATCCACTAGTTTAGGTCAACAATAAACCCGTTTTCATTCCTCCATTCCTTCTCTTTCTTTAGGGTTTTATTATGCCTCTTGGTCAAATATGAAGGCACCGACTCTTTCAATTCTCTTTTACTAAATATGCACTTTGTTTTCTTCACAGCCTCACATATCTCCCTCCTCAAATATCTTCCCACACATATCTGTTGGTAATTTTTTATATTTATATTTTATATGTATTATGTAGCCTTCTTAATTTCCTCACACACTCTAAATTTTTCATTTTTCTTGTGTCAAAATTTGATTTTGATTGTTTTTTTCTTAATTTATTTTCCCTCCCCCCAACCCCCACTTCCTTCTCTTGCTCTTTCCTTCATTCTAATTATTTCGTTTTTTTCAATTGTTTTCGGTGACATTGTTTAATTTTGTGAGATCCAGAGGTTATAATTACCAGAATTGAAGGTGGGGTCAGTGTATAATTTTATGGAGTTGATGCAAGAAATGAAGGGGTATTCTGATAGCAGAGAAGAGGAGGAGGAAGAGGAAGTAGCAGAAGAAATCATCACAAGAGAAGAAAGCAGCAGTAAGCAAAACTACCCCTTTTCTTCACCCTCTTTCTCTTTATCTTCTCCTCCTTCAATAACAAATTATACTAGTACTAGTACTACTATTACACCACCTCATCATCATCACCATCATCATCGTGTAATAAATATTCCTCACCAACAAACTCCATGGCTGGGGATGAATATTCATGATCATCATCAGTCACCAGAGGCCACTGAATCTCACAATTCATCATCTGGGTTAGGGTTATTACACCAGCACCAAGATGCAGCAGCAGTAGCAGGTTCCAATTTCATCATCAACAACCACACAAGAAAGCAGCTAGACTTCATGGACTTGTCTTTGGGGAGCAACAAGGAAGAAGCCAATTTGCAAGGATCAGGAGGAGCTGATTCTGGTGTTTATGCTCATGCAACTGCTAGTTCTTCTGCCAATAGTAATCACCACCACCACCACCACCAGCAGCCTGCTGAGAAGGAGCACATGTTTGATAAAGTTGTGACACCAAGTGATGTTGGGAAGCTGAACCGGTTGGTGATTCCAAAGCAGCATGCTGAGAAGTATTTCCCTCTTGATTCCACAACCAATGAGAAAGGGTTGTTGCTCAATTTTGAAGATAGGAATGGAAAGTTGTGGAGGTTCAGGTACTCCTATTGGAACAGCAGCCAGAGCTATGTGATGACCAAAGGGTGGAGCCGTTTTGTGAAGGAGAAGAAGCTTGATGCCGGAGACATTGTGTCCTTCCAGCGTGGTGTTGGGGAATTGTATAGGCATAGGTTGTACATAGATTGGAGGAGAAGGCCTGATCATCATCATCATCATCATGGCCCTGACCCTTCAGCCACACTCTACACACCTTTCTTTCTTCCAAATCAGCCACACTTAATGTCTATGATAAGATGGGGTACCACTGGTAGATTGTACTCACTTCCTTCACCAACCCCTCCACGCCACCATGACCATTTGCAACAACAACTCAATTACAACACCATGTATCATCACCCCTTTCACCATGCTGGTGGAAATGGAAGTCACCACTACAACTATCATGACATGAGTTCAGGATCTGGCTCAGTCTATTATCTCAGGTCAACAACACCATCCATGCCAATGCCTGATCATCAAAGCTTGAGTACAAGGCAACACCAAGAGGGAGGCAATAATGTTTCCCTTTCCCCTATGATCATTGATTCTGTTCCTGTTGCTCATCATCACCATCACCATCACCCGCACCATTCAAGTAGTAGTAATAGTAGTAGTGCTAGCACTGCAGCAAAACGGCTAAGGCTATTTGGGGTGAACATGGAATGTGCTTCTTCAACATCAGAAGATCCCAAATGTTTCAGCTTATTGTCCTCATCTTCGGTGGCACATATGGCTAATTCTAATTCACTTCCCTCTTCTACTCTACTACCTATTCAGCGTTTGAGGGAAGACACAATTTCACCATCATCATCATCAAGGTTTGGGGATCGGAGAGGGGAAGCCTCAATGCTTTTTGATCTGGACCCTTCTTTGCAATACCGGCAGTGATGAAACAAAATTGATGAAGAAACAAATAATGGAGAAGATACAAGCTTGATCTAAAGTTACCTGGGCTAGCTACCACTTTCGTTTGCAGCATTTTTATTATATTTTAAATTTTTTTTGCTCTCTTTTTTTCTTTCATCAGCTACAAAGGAAAGAAAGAGCTCCCAGGCTTTCTTCTTCTCTTCTTTTGATCAGTAATTAGTGTTTAGTTTCTGAACTTTTAGTACGTTTAGAACTGCTCAATGAATTAATTAGCTGGGGATTTGGGCCCTGAACGAATGGAACGTCCATCATTTCACAACCTAAAGAGGGAAATGAAATCCATGGAGATCATTTACGTTTAGACCTTGTCTCAATTGTGTATAATACAATACAAACATATATATATATATATATATATATTTATTATAGTATATATATGGTTTTTGTTCCTTCTATTTTAATATTGCTTCAATACTGTGCTCTCTTCTCTCTCTCTCTCTCTTTCCGTTTACTGCATTTAATGATACACAGAAAAGCTTCTTGCTTTCTTCTTTCCTCTAATGTTTCTGTTAGCCTTGTTGGGTTGATGTCGTTCACAACACTGCTGCTTCTGCTGCTGCTTAGTTAGGCATTTTAGCTTTGCAGATAAAGCGCAGAAAGTTGTACAGCTGTAAAAGGGTAATTTTTTCTGTTGTTATTCTACCTCCATCCATTTTGATTACTTTTTCTGCTTACAATGCTATTGTTACCATAAACCATTTATTAATTTATATTTATCAATGAGTACTATTACACTCCGTTTGTTCCTCTTTCTCTCTCTCTCCCTCTCCATTGCTAATAAGTAATCACTTTTCTTTTTATTCATTTTTTTGTGATATGCTTTTGTGATTTCTACTATTCAGCAGCCGCCTCTTGTCTGGATTAGCACTGCACACAAACGTGTTGTTGGTAAATGAAAAATTGGGGCATTAATTTTCCACATTTTCTCATGTCTACAGGAGTGAGTAACCTAATTCTGATGCTTATCTCAATGCTTTGCCTTAGATCTGTGATGTTTACCTTAATTTGAGAGATACAACTTATGTAGCCTTTAGACTTATGTTATTTACTTTATGGATTTAGATTCCTCATGTGATGCTTAATTAGTCTTCATCACAGCCTACTTACTGTTGATAGTTGAAAAACTCATTGGTTTTTTACATATATTTTTTGGATTTGTCACAGATACTGCAATAATTACAGCTAAGACTTTGGGACAGTGAATGAATCAAGGAGCTTTAATTTGGTAATTGAGGTGATCAATTATCGGCTTATAGTTTTTCTTTTTTCTGTGAAACTCGCCATTATATGGGGATATAAAATACATGCTATAATAAGAAAGTGAAAGTTCTCCTTTCATAAAATTTGTCTTTTTGATTCATCCGAGATATATATAACATGCACTACTTGTTTTGGTTGATCTATCTAATTCAGGGAAAAACATTACTTGAAAATTATCGTGTGAATTAATATGAACCGGTAAGGCACATGAATATGCACTTTGCCTTTAGGTCTACCTGATACAAAAACGCTTCATTTTACTTATTCACATATTTTCTCCATGTTTATTTGGTGTAATAGAATAGTAGAAAATCACCCATGTTTGGATATTAGACTCACATTTAATGCAAAATATACTGTTCATGGCATAAAAAGGAGATACCAAACAGAATGTTATGTTCTCACGGTGTGACAACGGGGGAAAGCAAAAGCAAAATATAGGACAGTAAGATCAACAGTAAGCTAGACAAGACATACATAGGAGCAGCACTTTTCTTTTGGCTACACAGAATTGAATGTGATGCTTTTGTGTTAAAATAATAGGAGTATCTCAGATCCTTTGGTAAAGTCAATTTCCATGAGCTCACCTCAAGTCTTGGAAGAATCCTTATAACTGCTGAAAAATAAAGAAAGAAAGAGACTGGAAACGGAACCTTTTTTTGTGGGGATGATCAACGTTGAAATGCTTGGAACCCAGCAAGGAAGGAAAATAATATATACAGTTAAGATAAAATAAAGCAAAAAAAAAAAAAAAAACGATTCAAAATCTGTCTTTTCTTTAATTTTTGTTGCATTATATTCTCCTGTCGTCCTTGCAAATATGGCAGTCATTTGTTGCACGTACCAAGTTAGTTAAGGAAATAAATGCCAACATTCAAGAGGAAAGCCACAAACAGATTAATGTTATGGTCATACAGTACCAATGTATATAAAGGTGATTTTTGCATCGTGTTTCATTTTGCATGGAATATTCAGTTTTATGCTTCATACATGCATGCATGAAATATATACATCCCATTAATTAACATTGGTTTAAGAGCATCCTTGGAGTCATTAGTTGATTTAAACTAACTATAAATTCATGGGATTATTTATTCCGTATTATTAGGCTTCTTGTTTAATTATAAATTCTGGACTTTATATTCATATGATTATATAGTATGAATATTGTTTGTTACCAACATGAAGGTCGTCATTGTTTTGGAAATTGCATCGTCCCAAGAATGTTTTATTCAGTGGTATTGATAATAATGTTGATTAGTTTTACCCACATTTTATATGTTCATTCATTAATGTTTGCTAGTTACGGGTGATTTATGCAGAAGGGAAAAATAGAAGCGACACAAAATCAGGCCTTATGTTCAACAATTTGACGGCTGCCATTTCAGTGAAATTTTAGGAATATCTAGCTAAGGTACATTTTACCCCCTTAATTTATGCGCTTTTATTTCTGGAGGATAGGCTTCATGTTGATCATCACTAATATTAAAGATTTTAAGGCAGGAAATTATATATTGCTTGCAGGAGGAATCATATTAATTGCATTTTTTTTTTCCATTGAACATATTTAATTTAATTTAGTTTTGAATTTAACTGTAAGATGAATAGTGCCTTCCATATCACTCTCAAGATGTTGATCAATAGATGGATATAACTCATCATAAAAAAAAAGTGGATGTGGATAAGAATTATACTTCAGTGCCGGGTTTGATTTAGTTCAGCATCTTTTCGTAGTTCAATGTTGACAGGTTACAACATAACATTGTTGCAAGCTAGTGCACTTGTCAATTAAAGTCATCACCTCTTATGTAAGAAAATAATAATTTTAAATGCTTTTCGCCTGAACCAATGATAGTTATTTGTTGCACATATTGCAATAATATTAATAATAATAAGTATGTTTGAGAAAATAAAAGCATTGGAGGATTGATCATGAATTAGATTTGAAAAACAGTAGAAAAATCATACTTCAAATTAACTCTAAATTAATTATCTCACTCAATTGATTTAAATTTGACCATCTGAGTTTAATTAGTAGCGCTGTTATATGGTAGATTGTTGCTCCCTTACAATATGCAACAAGTTTGAAATGCCATGCATATTTCATAGCAACATATATAATGTATTGCATGGTTGAGTTTATATGGATTTAATTTGATACATTGTAAAAATGTTTTTACGTTCAATTACAAGTATTGTATTTTAATGTTTCATTTTATTTATTAATGTATTTAAATATCAAATAATATGCTAACATGAGACAGTGATACTAAATGATAGAAGTGTAAAAATACTAAATATACAATGGCATGCATTAATGTGTGCGTGTCCGTAGTAAATTTAGGAGCACTGATCCTAATTAGTTGGTTTAAAACCAAAACTTCAAGACCATAAAATTTCTTCACATGCTACTTTTGTAATCTCAAAATTTCATGCAATAGAAGCATGATTATGTTGGCTTAGTGATGGTATTCCATGTGCCTTTAAAAAGCTAATTCTTAAAGATGATAACAGTGACAGGAGATTAATAATTATGACAATGCATTTTACTGTAATTAGTCTTTTTTTTATTACATAATCAAGTATTTATGATTTTTTTACTACTTTTATTTTTAACTTACAAACATATATAGAATATGGGGGCAAACTTGGTTAAGAATAACTGTAATTAATGTCACATTAACATAACTATTTTTCGCCATTATTACAGTAGACTTTATTAACAGCTTCTGGAAAATGTAGATACCATTCTGAAATTAAATCTACTATTGATGATTATTTTCGATTGTTATAGATACTGATGTTGGAAGTTGAAAAGTGGTTTATTCCATCCACTAGTCAATAAAAAATGATAAATTAACTTTAGTATCTAAAATAGTTTATTATATACTCATTTTCATTAAAAAAAAAAAAAAGAGACAATAATATACTCGTGAAATTACAATCCATACAATTTGTCGCTCCCGAAAAATTGTAAATTAGAATTGATTTTTTTTTTCTAATATTCATTATTAATTACCAAAGTTCTTTCAAGTACTCAGTCTTTTGTAAGAAGAGATCTTAATACACTACATTTAAAGGTAAGAAAAAATAAAATCTTCTTTGTATATGTGGGTGTGTTTTTCTTCTTGTAGGCATCCAAAATACAAACCAAGGTGAAACCTTTATATTCCATTATTTTGTTAACAATCACAACAAATAAACTTTAATCAGTAAACGTTTTTCTTAATTGATAATGAAAATTTAATTTTTGTTAAATTTTAACACGTTTATGTTTTCATCCGCGCATGAATGTTTTTAAATTTCTTTTTAACATTAGTTATTTCAATTGTAAAATTCTTTGAAGTTAAAATCTCTCTCGCAATAAATAAAAACACAACAATTTATCTGCTTAATTATTTCTTCGTTGTATTTAACTTAATTGTTTAAACATATTTATTTTATTTCGTTAACAATGTAAAAAATGTTATATTATCAATAAATTCTCTGATATCACATTTTAAAATTAATGGCTGACATTTATTGAAAAGAAAAATACAGTGATAGATTACTTTTTGCTATGTTAATTGCTAGTGTTTGTTTTTGTAATTTTTTCAACATCACAGGAGTGGTATTTGGAAGGATTTATAAAGAGATTATAAAAATAATTATAAGTCTCATAAATTTCTTTAATTTGTTTTAGTAAGATTTTTAGTGTAGTGTGTTTATGGAAAAAAAAAATCTTTTTAATTTATAATATTTTTATAGTGTGGGCGAGAGAGAGGGAGAGGTGTGTGTGAGTGAAGTTTAATGAGTTTCTTTATGTTTAGCTTAATATAGTGTTTAGAGAAATAAAGAGAAAGAGAGGGAATTAAAGTCTATCTTTTTTTAATTTTAGCCTCTTTTCAAAATTTTCGAGGACTTAAAGCAGGATTTTTTAAGACTTAATTAGATAAAATTATAATAGTTTTATTTAATAATTTTAAATATGTAATAATATTTACTTTTCCTTTCTAAAGATCACAGCGTATTAATATTATATATATATATATATATATATTATTTGTATAAATACTTATTATTATTAATCAATTAGAAAAATACATTGCATATGTTTTTTAAAGTAGTTATTATAATAATCAATGGTATGACAATTTATAAATAAATAATGTATAAAATTTTAAAAATTATATTATTAATGCATGTCAACTAATTTTATTTGAATATCATGAATATAAAATAGAAACCTTATTTCATAGTTTATATTATATTGAATTTGATTTGAATATATTAATTTTCATTTTATTATAAATTATTTTATAATTAAAAATTATTGACTTTTAAATTGTAAATAATGATTTTAATATCTAGATAACTTGTACTTAATTGGTAGTGTAAATATATTAAATATTATAAAATATGTGAATTAATTGATGTGTGATTATTTCAGCTTAATCTATAATTTGAATTAATTATCTATAAATGTAGTTGTCTTAAAATTTATAAAAAAATTATAAGTAGAAGATAAAAAAGTGTAAAGAAATCTTCTATTTGTTTGATGGATAAAAAAATTAAGTGAATATAATAATATTAAAAATTTAATTTAAGAAAAAAAGTTAAAATTTTAATATAATATTTCTATATAGATTTATATTAATTTTAAAATATTTTAAATTTTTTAAACCATTTAATACTAAGATAAAAAGTAAAAAGAAATTTTAAACCTGCGTTTTACTTTTTAAATAAGGAAAGGAAAAAATTATAAGAGTTTGCTTGTTTTTGTTTTTGTTTTCAATTTTTAAAATTATATTTTAAAATAGTTTTAAAAAAATAAAAATGAAAGTTATAATAACACACAAATTTGTATTATATATTTTGAAAAATAAAAAATATTTAATAAAAAAACCAACATGCTCTAACTTTTTTGATTTCTCTCTCTCTCAAAATCACTCCATTAAAACAAACCTTAAAATCTAATATATATATATATATATATATATATATATATATATATATATCAACTGTCATTACACACATTTACTCTCTCAATTATTTTCATTATTAAGTATGAGAATCTCGTGCTTTTTTTTTCTTTAATAAAGTAAACACTCACTTTAACATAATCAAATCAAATGAGCTTTCTAAAAGGTAAAATACAAACTAGTAAAAAAGTAAGATTATTAAAAAATAAAAAGACAAAAACATGTCGATCGTGAAAATTAACGTCTCAAAATAAATAGAGATGGAAATTTGAGTCAATCTCTAATTAGAGATGAAAGTTCATATACTAGATATTATATTTTCATTTCTAACTTTTGAAATAAATAAAGGGTCATTCTAATTATCATATGTTATGTCATGGATCTAATTATCAGATTCATATCCACACATTTGATTTGGGGGTTACACCCAAATGAATCAATGGTACGTACATGAATGCAGTCATACCCAAACAACAACGTTCTTAGATGTAACAAAGTCACCAGAAATTTTTTTTATAAACAAAGTCTCACCAAATATGTTATATATTCTAATAATATTACTTTGTTAATTAAGATAGTATCTTCACATTTAACCCACCTCGCACCATCAATGAAGTAACAGCGTTCCTTTTTGTTCATGTTAGGCCGTAAACTCAAGATTAGGTAATATTATATAATATTTTATTTTTTATGTGTTCATGTTCAAGATTAAAAACCAACAAGTTAAGACGTAAATGAGTTACCCTTTTACGAAAAAAAAATTAGCAAAATTTATTAAATATTAAAAAAAGAGGAGGACAATTCTTAAAGAATCAAAACTCATGATAATACACGTGAAAATATATCTTTAAAAAGGTCATTTTGAATAAGAAGGTAATGTATTACGAGTTGATTTTTTCCCCTTCGATAAAATTAATATGTAATATTTAATTTTATAAATAGCGAAAAATGTTTATATGAGAAGTTACATCATATATATTTAGCACTTCTAAAAAATTTTATAGTGTTTGTTTTTATCCATTAAATAATTATTTACTCAAAAATTATGACAAATTTTTTTTTTCATAATCATGTTTTACTCATTTTTTTAATCACATTTAGTAATAACTTTGAAGAAATGAATCATTTCAACCTATTTTTTATATATAAACTTGTCATTAACAAAATTTATTTCTCTATAAAATTTTAAACATTAACCTTAAGAAAACTTAAACAAGTATAAAAAATACAAAATTTATACAAAATAAAGGTAGATTAAAAATATCCAACACGAGAATCCCATTCTCAACTTTAGGTTACATGGATTTTTATATTAAAAGTAACAAATTTTTTAATGTGGAAAAAGGTATAAGAAAATATTAATAATTTTTGTTATTAAAAATATAATATTCAATATTATAAATATATTAAATTTTAGCAGAAATTATTAAACATAGGCGGGTTAAAAGTGGGAAAGGTGGGAGACGCAGAGGGATAATGGGTGTATATTGGTAAGATCACCCTCGGGAGTAGTCCAAGATCTGAATGAATATGGTGCCCCCACCCTATAAAAGTAGAGGGTATATAGGCTAATTAAGAGTGAGCACTGAGCATGGTGTGTGTGAGATTCAACTGCATTATTTATATTTACGACCATCATAAAGTAGATTGTACCGTAAAGTTAGCAGAACTTCTTCACCCTTTATTTCTCATGGCGTGGCCTTCCATTAATTAACTGTAAATCGGATCATTGGACGCATGCAGTGTACACCAGTGATCAATCCAAATCATTGTAATTGTACTAAAACTTCAATGGACCACTTCACCATCACACATCAAATTTCTTTTGTTTTTTCCCCCACCTATAACACTGCATGATTTACTATTATACTATATATATGAAAAACATTTTAATTAAAGAAATATCGGTGGACTTCCCAATTTTGAGCTGCTGGTTCTAACTAATGTCTTCTGGTTTTTATCATATCTTGTGAATTCCAAGTTGAAAAGGAATCTGTTATTTTTATTTTTATTTTTTTGACATCATCTCAACTTAACTGTAGAATGCTGATCCTTCACTAATATTTTTTTATACTAATGATACCAAGATTACTTTAGGGCTACTGATTGATTCTAATGCAAGCTGCTAGGTAATATAGTTGTTTTCAAAGCCCTAAAACTAAAGAAGATATACGTATACATACACATACAAGTGCTAATTCCAAAAGTAAATGTTTTAAAGCTCTAGCAGCTTTATATGTTGAGCATATTAAGCATGGGAGCTGAATATTGGTAGTTATAAAATTAAATATGCACATTCATTGAATCCTTTTGTATAAATATTACACGGATGACTTCATGATATGAATGTTACAACTTGTTAATTGTTATCATTAAACATTACCAAACTTTTAATAAACTACCACTGATACATAATCATATAATAACCTATGGACAAAACCCCACCATATTAATTACCTGGTGGGAAAATTCAACTTTTTATGCTTCGAAGGAAGATGATGGGTGCAGGACCAGAGAGAGGGTGAAGATCATGGGAGTGTCCAGGATGGAAGTGAAGCTCCAAAAGTGACAGATCCTTTGTGTATAAGTTTTTGCTGGGGCTTTCCATGTTTCCCAAGATGATAAATTAACAGATCAGATGCATGCACATTGATTTCGATTGAGGACCATGCAGCCTAAAAAAGAAGCTAGAGAGGACCAGAGAGAGAAGATGGGTACCCTAGAAAACGAAAGAAGCCAGCATAACCAGGTTATATTTCAGATCATCTTTAGCAGTCTCAGTTAGATTTGGATTATACATCTCTCTTTCACTTACTTTAGAATTAAAATTTTACATAAAAAATTATGCATATGCCATGATTATGGTTTTGTAAATTAAATTTTGCTGCATATACTATAAGGTTTGTTTGGGTATTCCTGTTGTACAAATAT